AAAACTTCATCAATTTTTAATGTTGATCTTGAGGTTTAGTTTTTCAGAGGCCTCTTTCTGGCAGCCTGAAACTTAAGACTATTCAATTCTGGATTATGATATCAGCACAGTTTTTCTATCAGAAGAATATTTCTGTAACAACTTTTGCACTTCAGTGAGTAGTATTTTACACCTACACAAGGAAATGAAAGAGTGCTAATCCCTCTCCAGCAAACTAATACTTCCCTCTCATAGATACAACAAATGCCTGAAACCAAGTCTTTCACTGTGTGTGAAATCACAGTGAGCCATGCTCGTATAAACACTTAAAATTTGCATTGTTTAATATTTGAATGCTTTAAAATTCTATCACTGCTTATCATTCTTCTTCATTTCATATTGAAACAAGACTTATTTTCACTCTTTTAGGCCAATGTGCCTAAAGACAGGACGTGGCCAGCAGCATATTGCATAATTCAGCATGAGATAGTTTAAATATCTCCCAAAGCATGTAGCCAGGTCACTAAAAACACAGTAGAATTAGTTTATGGTGTAAGCATGCCAAATTGTACTTTTGCTCATTTTTCGGAAATATGTTGTGTAAGTTACAGTTTGTATTAATCAGCCTTATATTTATACAGATTTACAAAGACATAAAATTATGCTCTGGGTTGAAACATGGTATTTAGTGTACTGACATTAACAGTTTGCCAAGAAAACAACCTTCTACCTCTCAATTACGTATTTTAGAATGCTCTTAGGTTTTCAAATGTAGATGTGACAAAAGGACTTCTGGAATTTTAGTTACAAAAGTGGCATTTAAAATATGCACACTACTGCTGTCATAAAAATATTTCAGATGCAAAAAAGAAAGACATCTCATTAGATCTAAAGCAGCTAAGCACTCAACCTTCATGGAAGTTAACAGAAATTCACAAAAGGTATTTTACAAAAATATATTAGGCTTAAATTTAGGCATCTGTACTATGAAAAATCTGGGCCTTAAACAATGAAAGCTGCTGCCTAGCTATAATATACTCGTCCTTTTAATCTTTTCACCAGGGGCTTGGTCTTGAAATAGAAGATGCAAGTCCCTTGGTTTCATTTATCTCTCCGAGACAGGAAGAGCTCTCTGTAGATACTTCTCTCCATCGATCGTAGAGAGAGACTAGACAGCTCACTTGCATAGACTCGGAATATTTTTTCAGGAACTCTTATAAGCATCTATTATTGCACCAACAATTATAAAGCTTATACCTGGAAGAAGTATGACTGGAAAGGCTGATCCTTGTTCTCCTCTTCCACATACAGTCCTCCAACAATGTAGACCTGATTTTGTTTGGTGACTATACTGGAATGATTTCTGGGAATCTGTTCCGCCAGGGCTGCTAGGTAGCATTCGTTTTCAAGAGGGTCATAAGCTACTGCAGCAGTGTCATTAACCAGAAGAATTAGGTCTTTGACAAACATGCCGTGCCTGGGAAGGTCATTTAAGTAGCCAGGCAGTAAATCTTCATCTCCTACATCACCATTCACCTCCCCTTTGGTTGACTTTTCTGTACTTTTGCTAGAGTCAGGCAGTTTTCCAGCAAAAGCATCCTTAATAATCTTTACTTTTTTCTGAAGGTCTGAGTTGCTTTTAATTATATCATCCTTCTCAACATGTTCTTTGAAGTATTTTTCTGGCATAAGACGAAAACGTATGCAGTCAAAAACTTCCCCCAGGCTCTTTACTCTGTTCTCCTTGTCTGTTCGGACCCATCTCATTACTGCTTCAAATACCAGTTCTTCCTTCTCTACGTTTAAGCTGTCAGGTGAAATAACCGAGATAAGTTCATGGGGGGCAAGCTGCATGAAGTCCTCTTCTTTGCAGATCTGCACAAAGTGATCTGAAACAAAATCACGGGCAGAAAATGCAAGTCTTGGGCAATCAAGCAGAAGACCTAATCGAAGGATGGCCAGACAGTTACCAACAGCAAGCCTCTTCTGAAGATAGGAGACGCACACAGTGAATACAGAAGGGATCTGAAAGCGACTGGCCAAAGCAAAAATATCTTGCACGTTAGAATCGTTAAGATCAATACTTGCTGAATAAAGGTACTTGACAATCATATCCAGGATGTTGGGGTCAACATTATCTAGAACTACCTCCTTCTTTTTCTCTTCATTTTGCTCAGATAAGAAATACTCACGAAAATAAGGGCTACATGCCGACAGAATCAATCTGTGGCAAGGCAAGCTTCTGTCACCAGCTTTTAGAGTGCAATCTATAAACTTTTTCTCTTCAAGGAGTTCCTTGAGGCCATCCTGAAGAAGGGTGGATTGGTAAAGTCTGAGCTCTTCAGTCAGTTCCCTTTGGGAATCCATTTCGCAAATACTTGGGAAAGGGGAGGGAGCAGAAAGCTTTAGCTGTTGTCTGCCCAAAGGTCTGTCTGTAAAAAAGGCAGACCAATGTGCTTTGCCCTGCCTGAAGCCTCTGCAACTTAATCTCACTAGCTAAATATAGGTACAGACTCTTACAGGTCGGAATTTAGGATGGATGGTTTGGAAAAAAAGAGTTGCTCTCGCAGCTCTCGCAGCTGTCAAAGACTGAAAGAACCAACTGTTACTTTTAGTCACTATGGTCAGGTTTGGCCATCAGTCTCCAGTGAATCAATGAGATTACGTGCAACGTAAGAAATTGACATGAGTAAGGACAGCAGAATCTGACCCTCAGTGAGACAGCTATGAGCAAGATTGTAAATATATGTTACCAAATATTCTGATATAGAAATATTATTAATCAAGTTGTCAGCTGCAACTGCTGTTCACTTCTTCAAATGTTGCTTAATACATCTTATTGCTGCAGTCATAAAGATAGTAAAAAACGCCAGAACTTTGCATCAAATATCTACGCTCTAAGATTATTTTTTTACATACCCATATCACCTCTGCAATTTCTTCAGATACTGATGACTTTGAAATTGATTTTGAGCTTCTTCTTAATATCCATTGGGTTGTATTCATTTGTAAACAAAACCCTACTGTTTATACATAAAAGTGTACATCAATCAGGTTAAGTTCTGCTTTCAAAAATAATTTAAAATGAAGTCTCCACCTCCCCTTAACAAACACCATTCTTCATTTCAGATAATCTGTAGACATTATCAATTCTTTTAAATCTGACTGTACTAGAAATGGTGGTAACTGCTGTTAAACTAAACCAAAAACAGTACATAGGAAAGGTAGAACAGAGAATGAAAAACATGTAATCCGTCATAATAACATTATATAATGGATGTGGAATTAAAAAAAAGTTAAAAAAAAAATCTGAACTTCACCTAAAAAAGCCCCAAATCAAATAGTTTGGCAAGCGAATGTGAATTTAGAAAAATTGTGCATATGTTGTAGGTTTCACAATTTAGACTGTGAACATTTTGATTTTTATTAAAGGTGGTAATGCAGATCCAAAACAAATTTGAAATTTTAAGTTGCTTAATGTACCTTCATGAAGGGCTGTGTTTTGCCCATACAGAGAATGTTTTTTACCCAGATGGCAAAATGTTCTTTGAATGTAATGGAAACAGGATCAAAACACAACTATTTGAATGCAAGATCTACAACAAGGTATAACATTATCAAAGTTTATTGAAATCACGATTGCTTTTCATTAGTGTAGCATTTCATTAAAATATATACCTTGAAAGATTTTCTACAAAGACCACAATTATATTAACACCACAGTTACTTTACTGTAACAGTCAGCTGCTAAAACAACAGCTGAGAGGAGAGCTCATTTGACTTTTTCCACTTATAGAAAATAGCACAGAGGTCTTATCTCAGTAGAAAACATAACAGCTGCATCTTCCTTTAAACAATAAATGACTCATTTCTCTCTAACACATAACATCATAAAGGTCTAATGACTGAAGACACAGAAGCTATTTGTGTGTGCACTTTTTTCTAGATCATTCCTTAAAAAAAGTGGTCTAGGAAAAAAAAAAAAAAAAGACAAAACTGTATAAGGATATCTGGATTACAATTAAGTACCTGGAATGGTATGTGCTGAACATTTAACAAAATTATGAGACGTGAAAACTAACATTTGGAACAGTATTGCTTTTTGTCAAAGTTATCAGTAACACAGCACTGCTGCAATGACACAGCCAATATGCCTAGATATAAAATGTTCTGCATATGATGATACTTCTATGTTGCACAACATTAAAAAAAGTTATGGTAATCTGATCTAGATGTAATCATCAGGGGAAAGTACATCACTGTGTGTAAATACATGAATATTTTAAATTGAGCATCAAACTATATACCACACGCTGCTCTATCTCAAATTGTGATCGCCATGTATGCAGGAAAAGGAGGCTTCCTCTTCTGACATACTTCCAAGTAAAATGGCAGGCGGTGGCTGGTCCTGGCAGCCAATCATGGGGCAGTATGTAAACATAGGGGTCATGAAGCTGTTAAAAAAAAAAAAGGCAGGTACCTGCCATCAAATGGTGGCTGAAACACCATGACAGACCCTGTGTTGTTAGGGGAGGGTGCTTCCTGCTCTGACAACCTTCTGGGAGAAGCAGGATGGGGTGGCTGGTCCTGCCAATCACAAGCCTGAAAACACCTGAGGTACAAGTGTGTCAAAACCCACAGTCAGCCAATCACAAAGCAGTATGAAAGCGTGGGGTATGACATTTTGCCTAATGGCAGCTGAAAAAAAGTGGCAGCTGCCATGCATGTAGTGGGGAGGGCCTTCCAGGTCCTTCTGACCGACAGAGAGGAGTGACATGTGACCAGAGCAAGGGTGGGACTTCTGGGGCTTGAGGAACACGTGACTGCCTGCAGGGGGCAGAGTTTCCACCAGCAGCTGGGGCCCCGCCCCTTCTTGTGTTAGATACTGGTTGTCCTCCCACTACTTACAGAAACAATGTAACAAATACAAAGCTTTTACACATATGAGGGTTTTAAATAATCTTTCCTTTATGACATACCCCGAGGGCATATTATCTAATATTTGCATCCCCTTCAGCTTAGGCATGTTCTTTCTCTGCTGCTCTGGTATTTCTAAATTATCTTCTACAGATCTCACAAGCCCAGTAAGAACTGAGAGTCTTTCCTTGCTTAGGAAACAAACATGTGCCAATCTAAATCAGGTCATTACTTCCCAGAGTCCCTGGAGTGTGAATCCGTCCTTCAGCTTCTCTATTGCAAGTCCTAGTTCTTCTGAAAAAACAGGCTCCCGATCATGTTGCTTTTTTGAATGCACAAGACATGAAAGAAAATAAAATAAATCGGAAGGCACTTTTTAATTTTATTACCCTATTTTAAGAACATGAATTTGATAGTATGAAAAAAGATGTTCTTACCTTGTTTTCATCAGCAAAATAAGCCTGCAAAAGAAAGGAAAAAAGAACTCGCAACCTTGGGGAAAAAAAAAAGTCTAAAACCAAATCTGCTGATAATTCCTTGGGGTCAAAACTGTATTTGGCAAGTTTTCTTCCACAAACCAATCTGTATGGTTTTTGTTTTGTAAACAAGCTCAGAGTTTTTTCTATGCTGAAATAATTTACAAAAGGGTTCTAACAGGAGTTGGTGATTATGTTATTTTTCATTAAATACCAATCTTTGAATTTTCCATCATAATAAACAAAGATTTTTAAATGGTAAAATTTTCATATTACATTTGTTACACTGACAAATACTTTACAGGAAATAAAGTGTTAATATGAAGGCAAACTGACAGCATCCTAACATTTTCTGCCTCATGTGCAGCAGCCTGTATTATTCAATTTGAAAAACTAACCTAAAATGTATAAGTAATATCAAAATTCAGTTAACATCATACTCAGTCTAAGAAATGAACACAGAGTAACTGAACAATTAACCAAATCTTTCTACTCTGAGAGAGAAATCTAGGAAAGAGATACAATCTTTCCCATTCTGTGTGTGTGAACATTAAGGCTCAAACTCTTCAGGAAATCAGACATCTGAAAATATCCACAGCTCTAGAAGTCTGTGGACCAGCAGGCTCTAGATCTTCATATTTACAAAAAGATCCTGATCTTGCTTCAGCTGCCCCTATGGACTGGCGAGGGGCAGCAAAGAAAATGTTTTCCTGCTCAGCTGGATCTCAAGCTATACAAGACTCTACAGAAGAGCATCACAGTCGTCAAGTGTCATGGATTATTGGTGTGGAGCCACTCCTTTGGGCCTGGGTGAGCTACGTCTCCTATAGCAACAACCTTCTAATCATTTACAGCTTCCAGTTTTTGTTTTAGAACATGCAAAGTACAGTTATTTAATCCAGGTGACAAAGGCACCGACAGAGCAAACACAATCTACCCTTAAGGAAAAGGTAGGTCTTCAACTATGTTGAATACTGAATGAAAATGTGCAAAAATGAAAAGAAAAAAAGGCAAAAAGTGAGGAAAAAGGAAAGGAAGAGATAAGAGCTTATTTGCATCAGTAAATGGCAGCAAAAGAAAAGAAGGTGGAAATAAGATTAGTGCTAGCACTAATTTACCAAATTTCAGAGATGAACTGAGGAAACATGTCAATTGTCAATGTGTCAAGGCCAGCACTTGAAAACATATGCAGTCTACCTGTGCAGTCAGTCATGCAGTCAGGTGTTACTGGGTTGCACAGCAAATTTGGAAATTCCTAGAAAGAAGGTCATCAAGCAACCTAATGCAGTTAAAAGTAAATTTTCCTGAAATACTAGGAGATAGATACTAATACAGTTTTCTAAACTGGTATTGTCAGGAGAGACTCAAAATTACTGCTGCCTTTCTAAAAATGTTTCAAGTCTGAATCTTAGATGAATGTTGAGAGTACAGATATCACAATCTATTAAGCTGCTCCAAGAGAAGGAAGACTTGTTTTAATATAATGTATTTGATTATATTATACTGCTGGTTTTCAAGCTATTCCTGATCTTAATGTGTTGAGAAACTACATAAAACTATTACTTTAAATATCTGCTACTATTTATTTTGAATAGTAGTTGATTCTTAAGTTAAAAATCCATACACAGAATAAATTCCTGTAGTAATCAGGATTTTGAATAAAAGGTATGTAGATGTGTTTTAAATATAGAAAGTTCAGTTGTAGCTTATCTTTAACAGAGGATTACAGCTGTACATTGCTCACATTTGAATAACAAAACAGCAGCTTACCACAAAAGCATCTGTATGTTCATCAGGTTCTATTTCCACATCATCTTGAACCTGCTCCACTGTTAGGTCTTCAAGAGGTTGAGGCTGCAAATTAGAACACTGAACTAAGTAAATCCACATATCTAATATGTTTAATATATTTTCATTACTGTTGTTAACACAATATTGTATCAAATTTAAAAGAAATGAGTGGAGTACCTTTTCTTCCATTTCATAATCCACTCCAAATATAGGGTTAGCTGAATAAACTCTGTGAAGTGAATTAATTTCTTTCACTGCCTCCTGTAGTTTCTCCACAGGATCTATTTTAAAACCAAGTACATATCCTCCACTCTATATAACACAGAAAAAAAAAAAAAGACATATATTTATTAATGTTGCTTATTATTTAAACAACTTTTTCCCCTTGATAGGGATTTGCAGTTTAATGATAGCAAATTTCAGTTTGCTGATAAAACATTATCCGAATTTTGGCATGATCCTATTTTCATCCTGCCACTTAAACCATGGGTGAAATCAAAACAATGACAATGCTTTCTCTATGAGGTAAATAAGCTTTTAATTGTTAGCCCATTATATAAATGGGGAACAAACTGCTTACCCAGAAAAACAAAAGCAAACAAGGGTGGGAGAAATTCAGAAGTGATACTAATGATTTATTCCTAGCTACTCAGCAAATGTTTAGTCTGTTAGATCTTGATGTTGTTTACTAAAGCAGCTTTCAGACACAGTAAATAAAGTTAGTCAAAATTTTTTAAAAAATAATTGCCATTAAAAGCATTTCTGATTAAGGTCAAATTGAAGAAAAATAATTTTGCCTCTTACAGCAAAACAGATACACAAGTGAGAAAGATTAAAAATAGTGGTCTTAATAAAGTATAGAAGTAATTAGATCCCAAAGATAATCTGTCAGAAGGCACTGTTTTTAACAGTTATTTGACTTTATTGTAACTAGTCATTCTGGCCTATTGCTGCTTCGCTTAGAGAAACCATAACTCACAATAGCCATATGGACCTTAACATACATTTTAAGCAGTGTGAAGGGGACTGTGTTCAAAAGGCCACACAGAAGGAACACTCTAAGTACCTTAAAAGTAGCTCTGTAACATTTGAGAATTAGAGAACTATTATATATAAAAATGTAACCAATGAAAAAAGGCTATTAAAGCTTCTTACCTGCTGAGAACTCTCTATCACAAGCGCCAAGCCAAACTTTGAGTCTCTTATTTTTATTGACCGCTAATGGTAAAGAGGTAAAAACTGTTTGTTAAAAATTCTGGAATTACTTGATAAAAATCTGCTTTATCTATTTTTTAATTTTATTTATTTTTTCACACTGTACTAATTACAATTACTAGTTCTGGAAGCTTGGCTACCAGGATTCCCTCCCATTTACCATTACAAATCTGAACCCTTGAACCTCAGGGAAAAGTGTTTTTATCAGAAGTGGTAACAGCAGTTAACAGTTCATTTCTGAACATCAGGTTCACAGATCATTAATCCCAGTGTGGCATGAAGCATCCTAGTAAATAGTTTGAAAATTGGAAATACAAGCCCTTTTCAACATCTGTACCTGCCCATGAAAGCCCCAAATTAATCTAGGCAGAAAAAAAAAAAAAAAAAAATTCTACCTTGTGGTTGTTGCCGGTTAAGACTAAATTCCTCCCTGACTGTGGGACATGAAATACTAATTTTGGTGAGCTGAGAGTTCTAACGGAAGCCTTGAACTTATGCCATTTCACCTTGAAAATGGCTGTTTTAAAATACTTACAATTTGTAGATATGGTATGCTGACATTAAAGCTGTCATTCATATTTGCATGCCAAACTATTCTCACATTAGTAATAAAAAACGTTCCCAAATTTCCCTATGAAAGAAAAGGTATGTTAGAACTGCTTGGAAGTATAGAGCCTTTTTTCCAAAGACGATAATGAGTGCTATCCATTTAAACACAAGCAGGATACAGCTTCATACTTAATTCAATAAAAGCCTGATTCTTTCCAAACAAAATCAGTCAAAATGCTTCTACTGATTGCAAAGAAGCAAGATCCAAGCTTTAGAAGATACAGCACCCAAGTAGTGAAAATAGCTGGGAGTACCTATTACTGCAGCAAAGCAGGATCAAATCACAGCACAGCAGACCTCATGGGAGTACATGAAGCATCTGAGAGTGTTCTTAACTGTACAGATCTGGAATTGGCATATAGCGTAAGTATAATGGCATGTGGGTTAAACTTAGGCAATTGTGGAGATGTGTGCCAAGGGAATGTAAAGGAAAGAACTTTTTAGCTTGTCAGGATGGATCCTATTTCCATTCTGGACTAAAATTGCACAGACAGAAATAACAGCTCCCATTTTGTTTCATGGCTCTGGGAAATACTTGCAACTAGTGCCCTGTAAAATAATAGAAATGTTTTTTATTTTTTTCCTGAAAGTCTTTATTTTTCCATGTTTTAAGACACAGATTCCTATTCCAATACTTTCAATTTCCAGTAATCAAAAACCAATATAGTCTTAGACAGTAGTCAAAGCTGTATGTAAACATACAAATATTCAGCAGAGCACCTTGGAAACAACATGATTGTCTTTCAGGATGATAAAGAGCTTTTAGACTCATAAATATATCTTTTTCACAGGAACTGTATAACTAGTTCCTTACATATTAGCCGAGTCATGTAGGCTCCATGTTGCCAAAAAGAGACTTTGTTGTACTGAGTAGCAAATACACGGGATCAGCTTCTCCGCATGCACCAGCTGATGAACTGAATTAAGGGTAATTCCTCTGAGGTTATAAAACTATGGTAGTACAATTGCTAGATGAAAGCCAAACATTTTAATTTTGCTGTAGTCAATGTAGTCTCATTTTTCACTATACCTGGTCACTTGATAAATTCCAAACTCCATTGATTTTATCATATATTTGCTCTTGTGGTAATAGTCTCAGTTGCTTGTTTTGAATCAAAGCACTTCTCAGCTTCAGATCACGATACATTTTAGAAGTTTCATAAGCTCTGAAAAAAAATAAAAGAATACATGTTACCATTTCAGTGTTATCTATTATTTTTAGAGTTTGTTTTAGCACAAATATGAAATATTGTATATTTTCAACTTTTCTGATCACCACCTTGCATAAAAATGAGAGTACTATTAAAACCTCATCAATGTAAACCATTATATTTCAGCTTTCCTTAAATAAGTTATCTTTAAACCTAAAAGGGTTTTTTTTTGACATCTGTTTTGCTCGCCTGTATTGTTCATGTGTATACTAATTATTTCTTCTCCTTAAGATAGTCATCTCCCAGCCTCTACTGCAAAGCATAAGTCTTCTGGGTCCCATGTTATACACAGCATGAACATCAAGAATCCTTTATTTTTCAGTGCTGGTTAAGTCACAAACATCCACTATACGTATGTCAGTATCCCATAGCTCTTAAATAGAAACCTATGGTAATGTATTACGCACACATTCATTCAGATGACTTGAGGTGGGAAATAGGCACTGTTTTGTAGTCAATTAGAGTTTTCACCAGGTTTTAACTCTTAATTTCCTTTACATGGTCCAAAATTATGGGAAATTATTATAGACAGAAATTATAGATAGAAAATACACACTGAAATTAGCTCTATTGTACTTTTTTTTTTTTTTCAGATAGTTTATACACACAAGGTGTATAAACTAATCAATCAATGACTGGTATTAATACATACTAATCTTCATTATGCCTAGTTATCTACTAGAATTTGTGATCATTCTCTCCCTTCCTTCCAGAGATTGTGCTCTCCCCTTTTGGAAAAGTTTTCTGAATGTTAAATATGGGCAGTTATATACTTGGTCCATCAGCAGTAGTAATCCCACGTATTTGATCCACTGAATTTTGTAAATGAACAAACACTATAATAAAGTATGCTACCTGTGTACAGCAATAACTGAAGTGAAGAGTCTGGGACTGCCAGGGACAACATTGGTAAATATGAACTCAAACCGTGTATTGTTGCATTTAGTCAATATATACAGAGCTTCTGTCTGCCCTCGTAATTTCTGTAAAGAAACAAATGAAATTTAACATGTTGACAATATAGTAGCTTGACTGTACAGGCAATCAATAATCTAGACGTATTTCCTAAATCCTTGTTCTAAATAGTTTATCTGAAGGTCTAATGTTGATTCTACCACTGATCTACTGCTGTCTTCAACAGAACTCAGGTCTTTTTGAGACTAGCAGTTCCATCAACAGCAGAACTAATGAAGCCTGCCTGCTATACACCTGTAATATCATGACTGAAACAGTGGTTTTGGCTTTGTTACCATGTAGCTGCTCGGGGAGCCCACATAATCTCCTTGCTAGTTCTTTCCTGCAAGCCAAACAAATGGCTTCACAGTTGCATGTAATTCAGGTTATGTCTTTGAGAGCTTTCTTGCACAAAATTAGTGACTCTCTAGACCTTTGTTAAATTTAGACACAATGAGCCAACATGTGCTTGACTTACCTAGAGGACTGAAGAATTACCAAACAGTGTGATTACATGAGTTTTACTGCCCTAGCAAACTCACTAAAAATACACTCCTGTGGAAATGTAAAACTCTCAGCTTCTAAAACTAAACCTCCATTACTATTCTATTTTGGTTCTTGCAAGTAAACTTTCAGATTATTGTTGATATAGTGCAACAAGTATAAACAATGAATTACAGCTTCTTTTATTATTTTAAGAAGTATTTTTTGAAACTTACTGAGTTGGCAGTTCTTGTAGTTATATTTATAATGCAGTTGTAACCAACAGCTAAAAGTTAGGGCAGGAAAAAAAAAAAACGAACAGTTTTGAGAACAAGAAAAAATAACAGTCAAAATTACAAAGTACAATATTGAATTTTGTAGCACAGCCATGGCTGGTATTTGCGAGAATTACACATTGTGGTTAATGGTCTGGGCCCTTATCACAAGATCAAAGACTAATTTAAGCTGGAAAGGACCTCGGGAGGTTGTCTGGTCCAACGCTCTTCTCAAAGTAGGCCCAACTCCATCTGGCTGCTCAGGGTACTGTCCAATTGAGTTTCAAATCTTTCCAAAGAAGGAGATTCCACAACCACTCTGAGAGCCTGTTCCACTGTTTGACTGCCATCATTGGGAAAGTTCTTCTCCTGATATCTAATCAGAATTTCCCTTGTTTCAGCGTTTGACTGTTGCCTCAAGAAGGTCTGTTTCATCATGATGTTGCTCATTAATTTTACCCTCATAAATTAAACTTTCTACATCAGTATTACACCTTGTAGAAGAGCTTAGGAGATGACAAAGAAAAAAAGCAGCAAAATGGAAAGTGTAAGTGCAGAAGAAACAAAAAGAAGAAGAGGGAAAAAACAGTTACAAAGTTCACTTTGCCTCTTCTACAGTAGTGCTCTGATACAAAATAAAACCAGAAACAACCCTAGTTATTCTTCCTAAAACAAATGGATGCACTAAAATGGTGCTGGGTTAAATCTGAATGTCAATGAAAATCCTGCTCCTGATACCAAGGCACAGCCAGGTTCCAAAAAAGTCAAAGGAGAACTAAAATTTGCTTTCGGAAGATTCTTTCTCCAAAAGCTCAGATGTGGCAGCAATTATGTATATAAGAATATTCAGTCTTTACGGAATTAATACTTATGAAAATACCAGAAAAAGACTATTTCCTAGGTTGCTTACGAGAAATTTTCTAAAACGAAAAGAAATACCAATGTTCAAAAATGGCATCCAATAAAATATTATTGGTTTTGTCTATATATTCCCTGAATGTAAGAAATAATGCATTATCTTGAAAACTAGAGAGGATTTTAAACTCTAAAAGCCATAGGTTAGACTCCCTTGAGCTTCTATAGGATTGAACTACTCCATAAGTTTCTTTGTGATCTCCTCTAAAAAGGTCTATTCTAAAACACAAATACACAAGAAAACAATTTTTTTTGTTTTATAAATACATATAAAAATAGCAGTGTGTGTGAGTGCACCTGCATGTGCATGCACGTATGAGATAGCAAATGCAGAAGAGCAAGGAGGCAGAGGGCATAAGTTTATATACATTATGAACAGAATACAGATTTTCAATATTGACTGGCTATTGGGAACTAAGCACTGGAAATAATTTGGGTACGAAGTAAGTGCATCCTGCCCCTGTTTCAGCAAATTAAATTAAATATGAGTAGACCTGCTAGCTACTCATTCAGTTAAAATTAGAAGCTTATTGAGAGCTTACAATAGTATATTTGGAAAGGCAGGTACTTGCGGGGAATAAAAACTGTCGGACAATACAGAATGTGAATAAACAGGTGTAAGAGGTACAACTAAAGCAAGGTGGGAGTAAAACTAAAACTTCTGTTTCTTTCAGAAAAAAGAACGAATCCCACATAGGCCAAATAAAAATATGTCTGAAGTACTCTCCAACTTCTGTTCTGAGAAATTAACATTGAATATTAATATTTTGCTATGAATTATTATAACAGTTCCTATACTACAAACAGAATCATTAGTAACAGTTTTCAGACTTTACAGAGCAAAAGAACTATACTTTACTATTCTGTACTGTAATCAATACTATTGTGAAAGAATAGCATGCCACCACAAAGGAAACACAAAATTCTCAGTTGTTTAACAAGACATGATACTTACAGAGATTGACTCTGGGCAATGACAATGAGCGCCAAATAATCCGCAAATTTGTCACAAGCAGTCTACCTGGAAATAAAGAGTGTAGATACTTTTAATCCGAATAACTTCCACTAAATTAAACATTCCATTCTGTGGTACATATTTACCTCTACTTTTGAAACACCAGAATATTCCTTCCCCTTGATAGCAAAAGGAAGAAAAACACAGGACACTCCAGCAGAAAAATCACTAAACACTTTTTTTTTTTAAATGCTAGGAGAGAAAATCCAGCACGGAACAAATGAAACAACCTCTAATATATACTAGCATTCCTCAAAACCAAACCAAGAAAAGTTACTGATTTCACATCCACCTGCCTACGGTAAAAACGCCGAGACACAATCAGAGCAGAACTGCTCTGGGGAGGAGAAAGGGAAGGCAGTGAGTTAACTATCGCAGCTGTCCTCATGAATAACCTCACCTCTTTATGTCACGTGCAAATTTCTTCGATTCTGTGCCCTGTACAGCAGCACATCAAACCCCAGGAAGGGTCATCTCAGCATGCTGGCAGCTTCATGCCCTTGCACACTATATATATATATATA